CAAGGCGGGAAGGTAGATGTATCTTCCTATACTCCTCTTACGGTTCTGCTAAGTGGCAGCTGCTCTCCTAGAGAGAGGAAACGATCATACACGAATCCAAGACGTGACCAATGGGAAGAAGAGCTTTTGACTCTGGTAACCAGTGTTCTGTGTGGATGATAAGGTGAGAAGTAAATGTCTGCTGGTGTTTTGGACCAATTGGATCCAATGGAGTGGTGATGGGCAAAGGACAAGGAGATACGAGTACTGCTGCTCCAGCAGGTCCAGGACAGAGAGGAACATCACAGGAGGTGTGCGTGAGGAATAATCTTAGCAGAAAGTACGTGAGTGGGCGTGTGTGTGGTTTTTGTTTGTTTTTGTGTGTTTTTTAATAAAAAACTTTGATTCCCTTCTGTCTGTACATTATGTAACCATGCTTCAACAAACAGAGGTCATTCTTCTGAACTTCACTACCTTTCAGATTCACACTGGCCTTTCTACTTTATGCCAAATGATTTCTGAGGCTTGGCACACAAAATATTTGCCTATGAACAGAATCCTCGATCTCTAGTATAAAGAGGATCTTCTGCAGGCTGCTGTGTTTTTGTCAGCCAAGAGAGCAGTCTGACTTGTCTGCTTTTGTACATCTCCAAGACCCTATATCCTAAAAAGTTTTACTGTTGTGACTTCCTTAGGAATCTGATCCCTTTGTCCTTTTGGATTGGATCATTTAGTGCTGCAAATTCTAGTGCATGCCGCTAGGAAGACAGAACCGTGTAGAATTTATGGCACAACTATTAGCTTCTTGCTAATTCACAGTGGGTTGAGAAGACTGCTGTTCTCCTGCCTGGCAAAATCTTGGCCTCTTCAAGAAGCTTTATTCTGTGTTGGCTTTTGTAGTCCCTATCCCATTCTTGCTTTATAATTTTCAGATACAAAGAATCTTTCTGGGTGACTTTAATCAAGAGCATGTACTGCAAAAATAACTGAAGTTTTTAGGATACATTTTTTGTTGTTTTTAACACTGTTGATCTTTAATCATGTTCTAATAGATGCTGACAGCTTTCTTTGGAACAGACAGCAGGTGGTGCAACTACCCCAGTTCAAGCTTCCGAACTACCAGTTCCTGGCTAGCCTGGGATGTGTGTTTTATCAATGCTGCAGCTGCTCTTTGCATTTTGCCTGTCATTTTCCTAGAACCGAATTTTTGGCATCCGTCTGCATAATTGGAATTTCAAAGCTCTGCAAATCTAAGGTAAAGATGGCTTTGTTCACAGTCAAGATTTTGCACCATGTTCTTGCAGGTGAAATTTGACTGTGTCAATGTAAGTGCTTCTTGTGAACTGCAGAGCTCAGTCTCTTGTTTCCAGAGTTGTCCTTCCTCTGAGAGAGGAGATGCCCTAGGGGTAGAGTTCACGCTTTGCATTTCTGATCTAGACAGGGGTCTTCATACTCAACTGTAACAATATCATTCAGTAGGGAGACAGGGCTAAGAATGGCCTTTGAGATGAGCAGTTAGTGCTGCAGCCTTCCCCAGAAGTGTGTTTCTGGTGAGGCTTCATAGTATTCCCAACACCTGCTTCCTTGGTGAGTAAAATTTACTTCTCTTGGGTGGCGGTGGGGAGATAGAAAAACTTGGGAAGAGAAACAAAAAAGCATCTACTGCTTTGTGATTTTACCATAGCACATGGTACAGGGAGCCTGATTTGCTTGTGAGAGTAACTGGGCATCACTCATCTGCTCTGGAAAGCAATCCTTTTCCAATTTCTTCTGGTACCCAGCTTGGAATGGTAGAGGATCTGTATTCCTGCCCATGAATTAAAAAAAGTCCTTACAAGGAGCCCAGTGATAATTAACCATCACTCATGGAGTTTCACTAGAGGAGAAGGTCTGCCTCTGAGCTTTTAAAACAAGGCAAAGATTTCGTGGTGCAAAGAGTAGAGTTCACGACAGGGCATATTGTGCCCCTGCCTCTGTGACCCGCACACAGCAGAGAGGCCCTGGTCCAGCCCAGGCTGGAACCGCTGCTTCTTCCTGGCTCTGCAGTCCTAGGCTGGAAGGGGTTTTTGCTCTGTAACTGCATGGGAATTGTTGCAGGTGGTCATGTAGGGATTTCTGCCCAAGTCTACAGTTCACTAGGTCCTCTGCTTCTAGGAAAGTATTGCAGTTTTGCAGTCTTTATATTACCTTTCCCTATGCAATTCTCTACGGGAACTCTCCTGGCATAGAGCTGGCTATGCTGTAACTGCTTGTGTACAAAACAGCCTTTTTTTGCCTTTCTTCTCTCTCCTTCCCTCCCCCTAACATTTTGCTTCTTCCACTTCAGTAGTGCAGGAAGGAACTTGCTCTCTAGCACCCTGTTATTCCCATGGGGGTTTCTTTAAAACGTCTCCTCTGACAGGACTTTTTAACTGTACTGTCACCACCCTGAAGGTTTTGTCTGGAACTCTGTCTTTGTCCCTCACATTCAACAGGAAGGTTGGGACTGCGGCAGACCCGGTGTCAAGCAAAGTCAGTGTTAGCTAGACTGTGTGTAAATGTGGTTCTTTCTGATCGAGCACCTGCTGTGTCTTGGCCCCAAGAAGTGACATGACTGAACTTTGTCTGTAAAACGAAAGTGCTATACCAGCCCAGCAGGTACCAGTCGTGTTTATTACTCCTGTTCAGCGTGGTGGTGGGACTTGGAGAATCCTAGAAAAGAATCCAATGAGGATTTCTGAATTGCAGTGGTGCTTCTGTTCCGTTTGTTTCCACCGTATCCATTACCTTTTCATTCTGCTGTGTGTGGGTGAAGTTTGAGAGCTAGCTGGGACAGGAACTTCAGTTGCCTTTGCACTTATAGTTGGGATTATAAGTTATGATTTGCTTTAAAATACTTATGACAATAAGGGATGGAGGAAGAGGTTCTTTGTTCTTGAGGTTCGGCTTCTGAATTCGTATGTTGATACACAAGAGGAAATGCTGTTGGTTC